ATGAACAACATGCTAACATATGCTGGGCAGCTCTTGTTTGATTATCGCTAACAACAAAAAGTTACAATAATAAAACTAATTAATAATAATTAAAAAATTCCAAAACTTCACAAATATTTCCACCTCATATCTAGCGTAAATAGGAAAATGAGTTAAGGCTACATGGCATGTTAAATAGTGTTTGCATGTTAGAAACCTATTCGACTCGTCTTTTTATCATTTCTCAACACTACATTATATTGTCTTTCCGTATTTTTAACATTTTTCAACACTGTACTATATTGATTTGTCAATCCCAAGATACATTATATTTTATTATAACATTTCGCAACACTACATTATATTGTCTTTCCGCATTTTCAACATTTTTCAACACTGTATTATATTGATTTGCCAATCCCAAGATACATTATATTTTACTATAAAATTTTATAAAGATCTCTGAATACAACAAAACAGAATCAACCAGAAAGATAAACCCACAAATAATAAAATATTTTAAAAAATATTTAATAATTAAATAAAATATTTAACTTATTTTTTTTAAAAGAATTCAGTTAAATCTCTTTCTAGGGTATTCAAGTAGTGCATCATTTGTGTCTTCCATGCGACTCGTGTTTGTTTTTTTTCCCCCTTTTTTTTGTATTTGTACTAAAAATACATTGGCAAAGTGAATTGTATTAATAGCAGGGCATTTATTTAGTTATTTCTTTCTATGTTGTTTTATTTGTGTTGTTTTTATTTTTTTTTAATTTTTTTTACTTATTTTTTTTTATTCATTTCTTTGCGCGTTGTTTCGCATTTGTGTTTATTTACTTTGCCGCTTTGCGCGCTGCAAATCTTTTTCGTTTCGGGGCCCTTCAAAAGATTTATAAAGTAGCCGGCTAGGTGAATGCCGGGGGCGGGGCGGGACAGGGGGGGGGGGGGGGGGGAGCTGCACAAGTGCCGCACGGTGAATAGAGGACGGTCCAAATTTACTGAGCCGTGACGCGGCGATCGTCGACGAAAGAAAACTGTGAATGGAATTGTGTTCGCAGTGCATATGCCGAGCGGTATTTGCAAAATTGCACAACGCTAGCGCTAAAAGATACATTTGTATCTGTATCTGAGAGTGTGCGCGTGTGCGTGTGCCTGTGCTTGTGTATCTCGCAGCGTCATCAAAAGGTATTTTACATTAATTCAAGATTTATGCATTCAACATTCGCTAGGTGCTGCATTTGCCATTCGCGTCGCCATCGCAGACATTGCCCCAATGTTGCCTGCCTGCTGCCTGCTGCCTGTTGCACCTGCCGTCGCCCAGCGCTGCTGCTGCGACGTCGACGCCAGCGTCGTGTGTCGAGCGTGGAGCTGCCAGCAGCAGGTGATCCATTTCTTTTATCCGGTGGCTGTAGCTGCTCTCTGGGATGTGGCCCGAAAATGCCGCTGCCAGCAGAGCCTATTTTCGTGTGTGTGTGTGTGTGTGTGTGTGTGTGTGTTGGCCAACTAATGCAGCTAGACAAGATGAGCTGGGGGCCAGTTCAGTGCTTACCCTTTGCGGAGTGCTGAAATTCGCTCGGGTTATACAATTTGCAGCGCTTCGATAATAGATATATGCACATATTTTCCTCATAAATATATATTTATATATATATATGTATGTATATCTATCTGTCTATCTCTAGAGATATAGGTGCATATGCTATATAAGCATGAACTGCATAATTTATAGGCTTTGCGTGTTCAATGGGTTGCGACGACGGCGACAGCGCTTGTGGCCATATGGCAAAAGGCAGAAGGCAGCGGCAGAAGGCAGCCGCATGGAAAGCGGCCCAGTTGCATTTGCAGCGGCTTTTGCAGTTGCAGTTGCATTTGCAGTGGCAGTTGCAGATGCCGATGCTGATTATCGGACGCAATTTGCTGGAACTGAAATGTGAAGTGATGGAAGACAATTCACAAATTTGAACTCTGATCTGTTTTTGAAGATCTACATTCAACTGATGCGTAGCTCTTTTGTTGTTTCTAAAAACAATATTTTCTCTATCACTCTCTCTCTCTCTCTTTCTATATATATCCCTCTCCCTCTCTCTCTTTAGCTTCTAGAACATTGTATCAAATGAAGAAGGTGCATGGGTATTATCTAGTCGGGCAATCCATACCAAACTAATCTTACTTGTTATACATATACTCTCGCAAGTTGGAACACTTCGATTTTAAGCCTATTTCACATTCTCTAAGATTTCCAGTTGGGAAGAAAGAGCACGTTTTACCCATATCAAATCTTACAAACTATTGAGTTTAATACGATATATTTTTAATTAAAATATTTCTATAGCTTCGATGGGATTTTGTGAATATTTTATCTTAGAAAGTGCTTAAAGTATTTTTGACCTTTGCTAAGATTTCCAATTTATAATTTATTTTGTTTTTCATCCAAAGAATATCATAAAGTTTACTTAAATGATTTGCACACAACAAGAAATTCAAAGATTTCGCACAATAAATAAATTACTCGCTATTTTTCACAGCTCGTGCTGATCATTTCTGTGCAGACGTCTTCGCGTTATTTTATTCAATTGTCTTGTCACTTGTTGACAAAAATATTCCACTTAATTGGCCGTTTTCGCGTTGTGTGGTATTTATTTTTGGATAAAAGACGCAACAAAGCTCTGTTTCTTTCGCTTGAACTGCGAGTAGCAAATGAAAAAGCCGTGCAAGCAATTAGCTTACTTGGATTTCAAAGAATTAAACTTGATTTATTTTCCCATGGAATAGAGTATAGAATAAAAATGTAAAGTGAATCTTTAATTTAGCATCAAAGACATGCTCACATTCACTCTTCCAGGCAAGCACAGCAGCTCTCTATTGCATAATTGCGCCTTTCTTTGCGCTTCTCAAACATACATTTGCTGCTTTTACTGGGAGTAGCTCACAAAAAAACCACCCAATCATTATTTCAGAGCAATATACTCGATTTATATTCATAGCTAAATAATCGATTGCATAATGCGCCTTTCTTTGCGCTCCTCAAACATACATTTGCTGCTTTTACTGGGAATAGCTCACAAAAAAACCACCCAAGCATTATTTCACAGCAATATACTCGATTTATATTCATATCTAAATAATCAAATATAGCATATTAAGCTTCCAAAAAAATGTATCATTAACTTTTCCTCAAAATCAAGCTCAAATTCACCCTTCCAGCCAAGCTACCCAGGCACAGCTGCCTGCAATTGCATATTTGCGCTCTTCTTTTCGCTTCTCAAACACACATTAGTTGCCTACATTTGCCGCATTCATCTGTCATTTGGTGTTCACCTGTTCAATTTATATTTCGCACATATCACACTTGGCTCTAATTTAGCCTTCAAGCCCGTACATGCTCATTTGAGCTCATTTAGCCCAGTTTAGTGCCAATCATTTGCCATTCATTTTTGTTGTCTGACTTTCTGACAGTTTGCGCCCAAAAAGCACAACTGATGCAAATTATCAGCAATGCAGCTTGCAATTAATCTGCTGCATATGACACCGCAATCACAACTTAACCCATTTCAGGCACACAGACACACACAAACTAGCTTTGGGCTCCGAGCAGGATAATAATAAACTGTTGCCAATGGGGTAAACTGGACTAAATGCGAATCGTGGCCAGTTCGGGACGTTGCCAACTGCAGTGCACTAAAGCACTAAACTCAATGGCTTTAATTGAATTTTGATGTCCTTAGCAAATTGTTTTCTAATTAGTTTCAGCGTAGGGATAGCCAGGGATGTATGGCTGCTAGGTGACGCGGTAGGGGGCGGTGAGGGGCGGGGCACAGTCTCTCATCTGGCTGGGCAGTTGACATAGAAAAAGTTTCTGTCAACAGTTCAACACTCACTGCTGCGGGGGGGGGGGGGGGGGGGGGGGGGGGGTAGGGGGCGGGGCACTTCAGTCGCGTGGGCGTTTCGCACTTGGCTTCAATAATGACAACTTAAAACTAAAACAAGCAACAGCGCGCCAAGTGTCTCAAGTGCCCGACTGGCAGATACCCTATACGCCACTGGAGATCTGATATACTAGAACTTCTTTGTAGAATCTCAAGTCTTGCAGAGCATTGGAAACAAACAGTCAGAAATGACTAGATCGTTATCGAATAAATCTTAATAACTAGAATTTTTAAACGATATTTATCGATTTCATAGCAGTAGACGGAGCTCAGCAAATAAATTTAAATAAACTGAATACACAAGCACAAGAACTTGTTTTAAAACTTTAGGACTCCAGTGCCTAGATACATATCGATAAAGGCTTGAAATCGATATTTATCGATTTCAGAGTAACAGACGGAACAAGAACAAATTGGAAATAAGCTTGATCGGATTACAAGAACGTAATTACAAGTCAGTCGTGACTAAATCGACATTTTTTGATTAATCGATATTAATCGATTTCAGAGAAAAAGGAGAAATAAACAATTATTTGAAGGAAACTTGACCCGCTTCAACGACTCCTTAAAGTCTCTAAATTAGGGTCTTCAGACAGATGGGCCTGAAAAGATCGATATTTTTGGGGAAAAGCTCAAAAGCCAGATGCTTTAAATCGATATTTATCGATTTCAGAGAAACAGATGAAGTTAACAATAATAAAAAGCCGATACAAATTGATGAAATAAACTTGAACTGATAAAGAAAAACATATTTTTAATAATTCAATTGGTTAGCGATCTTTTTCCAGGCTCGAAACCCCCTGCTGGTAAGCGATATTTATCGATTTCAGATAAGGAATGATGAGTAATATTATGAAATAGACGTGATTTGATAAGCAATAACTTATGCAAACAAAACCTATTCAGACAGACGGATTAGATCGAGTGGGCTGTTGATGCTGCTCAAGAATATATATGTATATACTTAATGATAGCAATGCTGCCTGTTACATGCGTAAGCTCAAAGGCAATATGGCCATTTTTTAAAGCTTTTAGCAAAGGGCACAGGGTATAGAAAACTAAAACAATTAATGCCACGTCCACGTCGACACTTACCCAGGATCATTGGGCACCTCCGAGGGCGAAACGGGTCCCAGCTCCGTTTGTTGTTGCTGCTGCTGCTGTTGCTGCTGCTGCTGCTGCTCAATCTTGATGTCCATGGTGGCTATCTGTCTCTCTCTCTCTATCCCTCGCTTTCTCTCTGTCTAACTCTCTCTCTTCCTCTGGAGCCGTCTCTGGGTCCTCTGGAACTGTGTGTGCTTTGGCTAATGTCCTAAAAACTGTTGATGTGACTGTTGCTGCTGCTGCTGCTGCTGTGCGGGCATCGAAGAGCTTGGTGTAGGTGGTGTGCGTGTGTGTCTGTGTGTATGTGTGTGTGTCTACGTCTAACGCTAACTAAGAAGACGGCGACTCCGGCGGTTGCAAGCTATCAATCTAACGCCGTTTTAATCATTGACAATGGCTGCTAATACGCTACTCGACGCGAGTTCCATTTGGCGTTTGCTTTTTTATTATTATTATTATTGAATAATATTATTATTTTGCTTATCCAAAACAAAATTGTTTACGTTTTTTGTTACATTGCGCACTTTGAATCACATTTCTGGTTTGTTGCTACGTTTTGCAGGCCACTTTTGGTTAACAATTTGTTGGATTTGGTGTTTTTTTTTTTTGTTTTAAGTTAGTTTTTTTTTAGTTCGTAAAGAAATGTTTAGAAACGTTGCGTTAACTATTGTTGTTGTATTTGGTTTGAAGGCAACATATTACTGCAATGAATTTGGTTTCAAAAATAACACAACAACAACAACAAGAGCAGCAAAAAATCACGCCATTAAATTGGCTGAGACCTAAAACAAATTGCAATTTCTAAGCAGCTGCTGTAGTCGGTAGCCTCTGCCCGTAAATTCCAAATGATTCGAAACGTATAATCGTAAAACTCAAACAACTATGCGGGGCGGGTGCTGCGCGGGGGAGGGGGGAGGGGGCGCACAGCTAGATACGTTACAATGAATATCGCTGTTTGAAAAAAAACAACAACATTTTTGGTTTTTTCTTCGAGTTTTTTGTAATGCTGAAAGATGCAAATTAAGTGCAAAGGTCTTAACAGAATAAATGGCTTGAGTTGAGCCCTTCTATGCAATTCTCAAACAGAATAGCAGCTGTACCACAGTCTTTCATTCATAAACATTGACTTCTATGCGCTTCTCAACCGGACCTTTGACCCCTTATGGAGTGGAAAGTGCTCTGCTATTGTTTGATCTTGCCTATTGGCGTCGATTACTTTTGAGCTCGCGCATCTTTGCTTGCGCTCTAATAATAAGCTAAGCTTGGCCAGTGTCACCACACACTGTTGTGCGGCATAAAGCAAAATGCATCGCCCTTTACAACACTGCAGCCGAGCTAATCTCTTAAGCTGCTTCCATGACATTTTTATTTTGTGCGCGTTTGCGGCTGTCTACGCAAAGCGCCGTTAGAAATCCTTTAACAAGCTTTACTTCACGAAACGCGATGAAAAGCAACCGAAAAAAAAGTACGCAAACGAAAACGATTTCATAGCAATGCGCTTTTTGTTGTTGTTGCTGTTGCCATTGTTTTCAATACACGCCTTGATCTTTCCCACACCCACACCCATACGCACACACACACACACACACACACTCATAAGTATATATATGTAAATAGTGCATTGCATGCAATGGGGACAGCATGTTGACTCCCCCAAGCAACAACAACAACAACAATAACAACGAGCTTTATAATAACGCGCAGCATGCAAGCGACACACACATACGCCCTGGGTGGGGGCGGGGCGGCTAGCTGTTACGGTACATGCACCGTTACAGCGAGAGCAGAAGTTAACTGGCGGCGGCAGCAAACACGTGACCCGCCAATTGCGACAATTGGCAGCAGCAGCAGCAGAAAAATTCGCTGCGAAAATCAAACGACAAATTTGCAATGCACAAGTGATCGACTAGCTGCAGCAAACTGCCGCCAGTTGGCGCCACGATCGTTGTGTAGACATGTGTGTGTAATTGGAGAGTTTCAGGTTGCCGCTGCGACTGCGACTGCTGCTGCTGCTCCTGTCGCTTTATTGTTGTTGCTTTAATGGCTTTGCCGGCCGGCCGCCATTTTGCACGTGCGATCGACAAAAGCTGATTGCTGCTGGCGTGGGCGTGCTGCCAGGGCTGTCGCTGATTTTTATTTATTTCCGGCCTAAAACAAACACTTGGCCTAAAAAACCAAACACTTTGCCACCTCTCACGGGCACACACACACACACAAGCCCACGCTCACACGCACGCATACACATGCACACACTCAAATTGCACTTTATTTGTCGTTGTTTGTAATTAGAATTGAATGCCGCGCACTTTTATATAATCGTCAATTTTGCATTGACACAATGCCCTGGTCGCCCGTTTCAAATAAACAAACAATTTGTTGTTGTTAAGTGTTGTTGTTTATGCCGTTACTGGCACGCACTTCACTTGCAACTGCAACGAGCGAGCTAAATTTTATATATTCTTTATTCGATTGCAATTGCTTCTACTGCTGCTGCTGCTGCTGCTGTTGCTGCTGCTGCTGATTTTGTGCGCGCACACGAACGCGACAACCAACAAGACGACACTGAGACACGGCCACGGCAGCCAGCCCCAACGTAGCTGAAGCCCCCAAACAACACACTGACACTGAGGCAGCAGCAGCAGCAGAGGCAGCGACAGCGGCATCGGGTCACAGTAGCACGCGCTGCACTTGTATTGGTTGTAGTAGTTGTAGTTGAGCGAAGCTTTGCGGCCGCGTCGGCAACCTACCGACGTCGGCAGAGGCTGTGCGAAATGTTCACAGTGCACCAGCCAGCCGGCTGCATTATGCCGAAAAGCCACAGCGCACAGCTGATAAGTGATAAGCAGTGCAGAGAGCGTGCGTACGTCTGTGTGCGTGTGTGTATGAGCGAGAGAGCGCACGCCACAACTTAAGAGCGCAGAGTTGACGCTTAAGAGCGTTACATTTGTTTCCATTGCGCTTTATGCTTAATGCGTTTGTGTTGAGCTTCGAAAGCTTACACTGCGCACAATTTGAAGAGAAAGCTTTGCGATATGTTGGGTAAATAATTAAATTTGATTTTTGATTCAATTGAATGCCAATTCAGTGCTAAATTTATCCAGCTTTATATTTTAAATGCCTTAACTGATTAAAAGAAGTCTGATCTTGAAAAGAGTCTAAAAGTTGCACTCAAAAGTTGACTTAATACAAAATTTTTGTATATTTTTAAAAAATGAAATCTTTTTGAGGATCTACTTTTTTACCCAAGATTTTTTAATTGAGTTTTAAAAGCAAAATTCATTGAAAATTGAGTTAAACAAAATATTGAAATTAAAATAAAGTCAAGAAATCGCGTTTTACCCTTCGCTAAAAAATAATTTTAAACTTGACATTTGCTTATATCTTACAATTGTCACAATTTTCGAAGGTTACGCAACACTGCATTTGAGTTTTCGAAAAATTTATAGTTTTATTGCATTTTACATATTTTTTTAGAATACGGTAAATTTAGCACAGCTCAGCTTCCAACTAGAATCTGTTCGAAATATCGGCTAACAATTTCGTCGGCGAAAAGGAAAAACTTGAAAAACGCCTCCCAATAGTGTGGAAAAGTGTTGTAAAAAGATAGATAGATAGCGTTTACTTTCACTTACAAGGTGTGTTGGAAAAGGCAAAGATTTGAGTTCATTTTTAAAGCACGACGTGATTTTCCGCGATCCAAGTCGGAGTCCGAACATTCGAACATTTCACCATCTGCGACTAAGACTACAACAAAAAAGAACAACAGCAACCAAAAGTAACGCACGCATTTAACTGGAAGCCGTCGCTGGCTTTGTGGGCGGCGACGGTGGCGTTGTGTCTGTTGTGTCCGTCGCAGCGGGTTCCTCCTTTTCCTTGTTCCAGCTCTTCAGACCCTCGGGCAGCGTTGTGTCCTCCTCAAAGGAGCCGGTGCCCTCGACAAACTCCTCGTACGTTGACTTATCCTTAAATGGACGCGGTCCCAGCAGCTCAATCATATCATCGCGACTGAGCACCTCATTCTGCAGCAAACGCTCCGCAACGATACGCACATCCTCCTTGTGCTTCACCAGCAGCTCGGTTGTGGTCGTATGCGCGCACTTGATGATATCCCTCACCTCGCCATCGATCATCATGGCGGTGTCCTCGGAGTAGGGCTTGCTGAACACGGGGTCGCCGCTTTGGCCCAAATCAAAACTGACCTGGCCCACCTTTTCGTTCATGCCGAAACGCACCACCTGCGAGTAGGCGATGTCTGTGATCTTCTTGAGATCATCCTGTGCTCCGGTGGTGATGCGATTGAAGAACAACTCCTCGGCCACGCGGCCGCCCAGGGTCATGCACATGCGATCAAACAGCTGCTCCTTGGACAGCAAGTAGTGATCCTTGGGCAAATACTGGGCATAGCCCAGACCCTTGCCGCGTGGTATTATCGAAACCTTTAACAGCGGATCGGCATGCTCCAGGAACCAGCCGGCCACCGCATGACCAGCCTCATGGTGAGCCACCGTTCGCTTCTCCTCGGGCGCCAATACATTCGTCTTCTTCTCCATGCCCGCGATGACACGCTCGATAGCCTGCTCGAAGTGCTTCAGCACAATCGAGTCCTTGGAGTCGCGAGCAGCTATCAGCGCTGCCTCGTTGCACACATTGGCAATGTCGGCGCCGGTGAAGCCCGGCGTCAGTGCAGCCATTTTGCGGGACAAGGCGTTCTTGTCGAGCTCCGTTTTAAGTGAGCCCAGATGCACCTTAAAGATGCTTGCGCGTCCCTTGATATCCGGCGCCGGCACATAGATCTGACGATCGAAACGTCCCGGACGCATCAGCGCCTTGTCCAGAATGTCCACGCGATTGGTGGCAGCCAGCACCACCACGTTCGTGGTCGTATTAAAGCCATCCATTTCGACCAGCAGCTGATTCAGCGTATTCTCCTGCTCGGAATGGCCGCCAAACGTTTTGCCGCCACGTTTCCGGCCAACAGCATCGATCTCATCGATGAAGAGAATGCAGGGCGCATGTTTGCGCGCCATCGCGAACATGTCACGCACTCGGGAGGGGCCGACGCCCACGAACATTTCGAGAAACTCCGAGCCGGATACGGTAATAAATGGTACATTCGCCTCGCCAGCCGTCGCCTTGGCCAGCAGGGTTTTGCCCGTGCCGGGCGGGCCGGTTAACATGGCGCCTTTGGGTATCTTGGCGCCCAGATCAATATACTGTTGCGGATTCTTCAAAAAGTTGACAAATTCCATGATTTCTATTTTAGCCTCCTCACAGCCGGCAACGTCTCTGCAAAAGGGTGGAAGGTGCGTATGTTAATTGATTCCTTGAGTTGGACAATTGAAGGAAGCTCACTTAAAACCGATGCCAATCTCTGTGGGATTAATTAACTTCGCTGTCGATTGCATGACACCGCCAAACAGGCCGCCGCCCTTGCGTCCACGTCCGGCGCCCATCATATCCGCCGATTTTCTCATCATATAAACAAGAAAACCAATTATCAACAACGTGGGCAGCAGGCCCGTCAAACTGGACGCCTCCACCTCGTTGCGATAGATGACGGGCACAAAGTTGATGGACTCGACGCCCTGTTCCGTTTGCGCAGTCTCCAGATTGCGCTCAAAGGAATCAACGCTGCCAATGTTGAACCACATGACACCGCTGCTGCTCTGGCTCGGCT